GATTCGCTGCTAATCTTTCTCAATGGCTGCATACTTTGCCGACCAATCCTTGCAAACCCGGCCCTGAATTCTCTGCTTTTTAAGGCATAAATGAATGGATTTAAAACACTGTTAGCGTACGTAAAAAGTCGGCACACCACTGAAATATAATGAAAGAATTTGTTCTCAGCGCCATCTCCAAAATCCACCCAAAGCCAGAGAATTTGATTTGGAAACATGCTGATTGCAAACACGACGACAACAAAAACGAACATTTTTGCCAAACGAATGTTTTGTTCTTTTCTTTTAAATTCCATGTCGTCCATGATAGTCGACAATCTGCTTGAGTTGCGACGATGCTGACCCTTTCGATTCGCGGAAAAAAGTCTCGCCGTGTTTAAACGCAAACTGCGGTAGATAAGCAGGTATGCTACGCACATCGTTACCAAAGGCAAGGCATATTGGCATAGGAACAGGACAATGGTGTACGCTTGTCGGTGACTGAAATTAGACCAGCTTTCAACACAATAACCTTGAGCCTCATTGTAATCTAGCGCAATAAAATAAGGAACACACAGACCGATGGAAATGACATGAATTGTCGACGAGAACACAAGGATTTTCCCAGTGGAAACGCGCCTTGATAAAGGTTTCCCAATAGTTCTGTACCTATCCAAGCTGATCGCTACGAGAGTCAACGATGAAGAAGTTGAAAACGCAGTCTGGAATGGCCATAAAACTCTGCACATCCCGCTGCCAAATGGCCAAATGTAGTTGACCTCTTCTAGGGCCAAATCAAACGGGATACTTAGAGTAGGTAAAATGAGGTCGCAAAGAGCCAAGTTTAGTATCAGTACATTTGCCGACGTCCATGTCCCTTTAGCTCTTATGATAACAATAGCAACTAAACTGTTGCCGATACAGCTAAGAGTAAAGATCAGAATGTACAATGATATCTTTGTGATTCGGAACTCCAAGTATTCCAAGTTGAAGGCCTCAGACACATTTTCGTTTACGCTGCTATTTAAGACCATGTTCAAAAATGTTAGCCGACCTGCAGGCTGCCTGTTTAAAATTCCAAAACAGTTGGAGAAAAACGGTCGCTTTAGGCAGATTCCTTAAGTAAATCAGCAACAGCAACCTCGTAGCAACAGCAACCATGTAAAAACATAGGCATCACTGCATGTTTGCACCATTAACAAAAATGCCGTCGAAGAAATTGAACAAATAGTTAACTCCTTTTAAGCATGATTAGCCTCCGACACATCCGGGCAGATCGATGATCTAAGCCCAATCATTAATTTCTCTCCGTTCCACTATCGGTAAACTAAAACCACATGGTTTCTATTGGCAAACAATAAAGCAACAACTTAATAATACTTTGAATAACAACTATGTCTTATCAGGAGATTATAAGTAAAGGCAACAGAGATTAGATCAGTGGAAGCCGTCAATGATGTTGCAGCCAGAAAATCAGAATAACGCACGACAAATACAAGGGGTTCATTATCCTAAGGAAACATATTTTTTTTTTTAGCAGATCACAACATGAAATGACACAATGTAATGTTCGTGACCTTTTGAGACTGCATGTGGGGGACATGATTACTGTGACGTTTATTTACTCGTCAAAACTGAAAGAATTGCTTTAATTTTAATTAAAGAATCAACACGCCCCCAGAATATGAAACAACACCGCCTCGAGGTCATTCGCTTGACAGATTTGCAGCAGTAACTATTGTGGTTATAGGGCAATTTATTAAAATACCGAAGGAAGTAATTTCAATGCATTCAATCGAGATGTTAGATTCTTGCATGTCTGGGGCTTAATCATTACGGTACAATGGGTCTGCGGCGTTATGATTGTTTAGCTACACCAAGTCGTGGAGCTAAAAAGGCAAACATGACTTGTGACAGCTATATCGTCAGTTACAAGAACGAATAAGGTAAACTATACTGAAAGATTTAATAATGAAAGAAACTTTGCCATAAGTAGACAAAAACGTGTCTCCTCCCCTTTCACTAGACAAGAATCAACTGTTATCACAACAAGACGTGGAAAGCACGAATCAAGTTCTCTAACATAACGTTTGCAACCATTTTCAAACCGATGACAGTCGGTTCAAATTCGATTCAAAAAGAACCAAGGACGAACTTTAAGAGGCAGTGTCATATGCTTTATTATGATATACGAATTCTTGGAGCTACACGGTATACGTCTAACAGTTATGGTTTGTTTTTGTAGTAGTCAGTTCCCGAAAATTAAAGTGACTGCAACCCACAATCACGGAAAGAAGTGAGCATAGTGCCTGGCAAAGTTGGAAATGGAAATCTCTTGCAATGAAGAGAAATACAGGGACAAATTTGTAAGCGTACGAGTCTTGTAAGTTAGCCCCAATGGCGCCACACATTTTTTTAATTTCATGTTAGGTGAATAGACTAGGCCTTAGCTGTGAGGTTTGGATAGAGATACTGGAACCTCATTTATCAGTTCACGTTAGAGCGATGTCCTAGTTTTAAGGTTAAATTCCACCCCATTTCTCACCTATCATTAAACTTTGCAGATCTCAGCTGTCAATTAATTTTACACTGAGTCGAAGAAGATTGATTGCTCTGAAGTAATATGCTATGAATGATGCTAAAATAGCATTTCAGATCTTCAAGATTTCAAGTGGGATAACAGTAAGGGTGGCTAATGGTCCTTAGAAAACAGACGGGTCTTCCAAAATGTTCCTGGAATTTCACTGGCCTCGCAGTGTCGTTTTTATAGCAGTTATGTGGGTCTCCTGGTGTCGATTTTTTTGGCAAACCTTTCGCGGAGTCTCGATTATTTGCAAGGCTAAGAGAGTCTCAATGTCCCATTTTTCTGTGAGACATCATTGCCTTTGGAACATCTTAGAGCATAAACGTCTCGCGCCAGGGGAGATACATGCCGTCTCTCCGTTTTGGATGAAACTTTGGCAGATTGAAGGTACTACCCAACATCTCTAAAAGACAATTAAAAGTTCTGGTTTTTTGCCCAAAATCCCATAAATGTCACTAAAATAAGCATCAAATTTAGACACCACTGCTGCGTACAGAATACATTGAATTTTATTCATTGGATCTATTTTAGTTTACACCAGGAGTTTCAAGTCATTTGAAATGACTGGTGCCAATTAAGAATTGTCATTTCCTACCAATGTCACGCAACATTTAGCTATGAGGCAAATTAGCTCAAATTCTGACTCAAATATTGCTTAAGTCAAAAATTCTTTTACAAAACTAATTTTACCACAGTTTAGAGTCACCCCCTGCCCAATGAAATCAATTTCAGAAGGAAAAGAAAACAAACAGCGGTTACAAACATTACAAATAGACAACGCATGGTCTAAAAACTCAACTGTATGAACTTGACGTTTCGTATGTTACAACATACATCTTCGGAAGTGACGGGTATAACAATAACAAAAGTTATAAATTTAAATTCAAAAATAAAGCGAGACACTGGTGACGAGCTAAAAATTAATAACAAAATTGATACTTCCTTTAGAAATTACTAAAGAAAAAGTTTCTCACTACCAACGTTTTCATTAAATTCCAGAGATTCACCAATTTGTACATTTCATAAGCTTTCGGGCTTGATTTTGTATCACTTTCCGTCATTTCTTGACTTTTTTT